CCCCCCCAGGAAAAATACCAAAACTATTTTTAGTTTAGTTTTAGTAGAGTTTTTTACGGCGCCCGCAACTGCATAAGACCAAAACTATACAAGAGAAGATGTCACAAAAAAAAAGCAAGAAAGATCAATGCCTACAGAACACATTAGATTTCTATTGCAAGGAATTAAAGAGTGTTTGACTCTAAAAAATCTGGTGCTGGGACGGACCAGGTTTATGAACCAACTTTGTGGTATTTCAATGCACTTGCGGTTGCTGGTTCGAAATCACCCATCTTGTCTTAGCGGGTTTCAAGACAAAGAACGAACCTGGTTTACGCAATTAAATTGTCAGTAATATTGAACTGTGCGTGGGCAACCTAGAAACTGTCAATTATATAGGGCAACCAGGATAGCCCAATATAATTGATCGTGTATGGGCCGCTTTCATCCGTGTGGTTCTCGGGGGCCTGTCCAAGAGACAGGGGAGCAAAGAATAGGACCACTGAATCCGTACCGCGCATGTCGTAGAAGGCGACTAAGGTCGGTTGGGCTTCCCCGACCCTGGTTAGCAGCCCTTTCCCATAAAACAAAAAGCAGCTACAAAAACACCAATAGCAAAAACAACACGACCGCCAGTTCTGGAAGATGGAGGACTTTCATCACCGAGGAGAGGAGAGAATATGGAGTGTAGAATGACGCAGGGTGGTGAAAGCCGGAAGGAAGCCACTAAGCCGAGAAACCTGTCGACCAGAAAAACCACCAGACTTGGCACCTGGAATGTTCGTACAATGTACGAGGCAGGGAAGGCACTGCATGTTGCAAGAGAGATGGAGGGCTACCAACTGGACATATTGGGTCTCTGTGAGACGAGATGGACGACTGCAGGGGAGTGCCAACTTGCTTCTGTGGAAACAGTTCTCTACTCTGGACATCTGGAGGAAAACTCGCGGCATACAGAAGGAGTAGGTATTCTGTTATCAACACACGCCAAGCGGGTTTTGATAGGATGGAAAGCAGAGGGCCCGCGACAAATATCAGCTGAATTCCGTTCACAGAAGAAAGACATCAACCTTCATGTTATCCAGGGATATGCCACCACCAATGATAAGGACCAGGATGTGAAAGAGACTTTCTACAAAATGCTAAAAAATACTATTGATCAGGTTAGAAGGAAGGACATCTTGATTTTAATGGGAGACTTCAACGCTAAGGTAGGCAGTGACAATGTAGGCTTTGAAGAAATCATTGGGAAACACGGACTTGTAGTCAGAAACGAGAATGGAGAACTATTTGCAGAAATATGTGCAACGAATGGGCTCGTGATAGGAGGGACTGTTTTCCCACATAAACAGATACACAAATCAACATGGGCGTCGCCAGACCAACAAACTGAAAACCAGATTGATCACATGTGTCAACAAGAAATTCAGGGGATCAATGAGGGATGTTAGAGTTTACAGGGGTGCAGACGTAGCTTCGGACCATCATTTGCTCATTTCAACCATCCGACTAAAACTAAAGCGAAGACAGGGAATTGTCAATAATCATAGGTACAGGTCTAGGCGTTCTCAGTCCGGTACAACGTGGAATTTCTGAGAGAGCCATCATCAAGAGAGGAGTTTAATGTAGCAGTTAAGAACAGGTTCCAAGTGTTGGAAACACTAGGCGAGGATAGCAGCGTGGAAGAAACATGGGAGGCAATAAAAAAAGGCTGGACCACTGTGTGTCAAGAGGTACAGGGGAAACGGAAACGTGAGCACAAGCCTTGGATATCGGTCACCACTCTGAGGAAGATAGAAGAAAGGAAAAAGAAAAAGGATCAGGTAAACAGGAGCAAGACAAGAGCAGGCAAAGCAAAGGCCCAAGAAGAATACACCAAAGCAATGAAGGAGGTAAAAGTCAGCGTAAGGAAAGACAAAAGAAACTATGTAGATGACCTAGCGCGCGGGGCAGAGGAAGCAGCAGGGGCAGGAAACATGAGAGGACTGTATGAAACCACTAAGAAACTTGCAGGCAGATACAAGAACGCAGGTGTGCCGGTGAAGGATAAAGACGGAAAGCTTCTCACAAATCCAGACGAACAGAAAGAACGCTGGAAGGAGCATTTCAAAGAGCTGCTGAGCAGACCAAGGCCAGAAAACAGTTTGACATTCCACCAGCAGAGATTGATCTGGGGGTAAGTGAAGAAAAGCCTAGTTTAGAGGAGATCAAGGAGGCGATAAGACACCAGAAAGCAGGCAAGGCAGCCGGCCCAGTTGGAATTCCCCCAGAAGTTCTCAAGGCAGATATCGACACTGCGGCAGGGATTCTTCATGGAATTATTGGCAAGATATGGGACAGCGAAGAATTTCCACAGGATTGGAGAGAGGGACTGCTCGTGAAACTACCCAAGAAAGGAGACCTGCATAAGTGTAAAAACTACAGAGGAATCATGCTCCTTTCCATTCCGGGGAAGATTTTAAGCCGTACCATACTGGAAAGACTGAAGGAAGCCGTGGATGCAAAACTAAGAGAGGAGCAGGCAGGATTTCGTAAAAAGAGATCATGTACAGATCAGATTGCAACTTTGAGGATAATAGTGGAGCAGTCCACCGAGTGGAACTCTTTCCTGTACGTTAACTTTGTCGACTACGAGAAAGCTTTTGACAGCCTAGATAGGGACTCAATATGGAAGCTCATGCGCCAATACGGAATACCTGACAAGTTCGTGAGATTGATCAAGGAGATGTATGAGGGAATGAGTTGCAGTGTTTTACTTGGAGGGCAGCGAACAGACTCGTTTGAAGTGAATACAGGAGTGAGACAGGGATGCCTGCTATCGCCTTTTCTCTTTTTATTAGCAGTGGATTGGATAATGAGAAAGACAACATCGGGACAACGCGGTGTCATACAGTGGACCCTTTCCAGTCAGCTGGAAGACTTGGACTTTGCCAATGACTTGGCACTTCTTTCCCACAGTCGAGCCCAGATGCAACAAAACAGATCGCCTCAGGACCTTCTCCCGTAGTGTTGGACTCCATATTCACACGGATAAAACGAAAGTTTTACGAATGAATGCAGCCGACGTTCCTATCACACTGCAAGGGGCACCACTGGCGGATGTTGAATCCTTCACCTACCTGGGAAGTTTCATCAACAAGGCAGGGGAAACAGACGAAGACATCAAGGTCAGAATCCAAAAGGCAAGAGCAGCATTCATCATTCTCAGGAATACATGGATGTCTTAGGAACTGCGATTGAACACCAAACTGAGGATCTTCAAAACAAACGTGAAGACTGCTCTACTGTATGGTTCAGAGACATGGAGGCTCACAGCATCAGCAGCAAGGAAACTGCAGATCTTCGGAAATGGATGCCTACGAAGGATAGTGGGGATCAAGTGGTACGATCGAGTCACGAATGCTCAACTGTTGAAGAGAACAAGCCAAAGGCCAGTGAAGGAAGATATTCAGGTGAAGAAATGGAAATGGATTGGACACACCCTGAGGAGACCCCGACAAGCATCATCAGGCAGGCTTTAACGTGGAACCCACAAGGAAAGCGTAAGAAGGGAAGACCAAAGATGACATGGAGGCGAGCGGTACAAGCGGAAATTGAAAAAGCGGGGACATCATGGAGTAAGGTTGTTGATGGCCTGTGCTCCACTGGGCAAGAGAGATGGGCCGCTTCACACACTCCACAACAACGCTTCTCTCTGTGCAATACACGCGGCACAAAGACACTACTCACTACTCACAACCAGTCGTCACTGCTCACAACTCACAACACAAACACAAACTGCAAGCGTGCTATTAGCCCGGATGTTGGCTTCGGCCAAATCTCGTGTTGATCGAGTGTGTAGATTTGTAGATCTACACATTAAAAATAATTTAAATAAATTAAAATGGGTTTTATTTTTTGGTAAGTGTCTTACTGAGCTCGCAACTGCGTGGGACACATTCAACATTTTCAGTTGGAAGGAAATTTTGAATTTTGCCCGGGTGGCGGCCGAAGCCTATCTTTTCGATTTTAGACCAAGTGATCTTTAACGTGCGCAACTTGCACACGGGACCTCCGGGATTTTTTTGCCCTTGTTTGAGAAAGCTTGGTGTAGATATTTCCTACTAGAAGATCAGGGGTGTGGCTGAAAGACAGCAGTAAGAAGGGGCAAAGGAGTAGCTGTAGAAGGCTGTAAAAGGAGGATATTATGGAGCAAAGGAGGTGAGATGGTGGGAGCAGAAAGAGGAGAAGAACGCAGACGACAGAGCATTGCTAGAGAGCAATGTCTGTGTTTTGCAACCAAACCTGGGTCAAATAGGCCTATGATTGATTAGCTCCTAGGACATTAGAATTCAAAATTCCATATGTAGTTCACTTTGTATTCATCGCAAGACGTCTTAAAATTCCACCAAAAAAAAGTCGCATACTTTCAATGTGTGGCCTGCCTGTGAAAGTGCTCTAGGCAAGAACGATAAATATTCGAATGCTCAATTAATCATGATATCAGCAGACAACAACTTGGAGAGATAAAATAAAAGCGGAGCGGAGCGGATGGTCTGGATAAAGACTAGATCATCCTGCCTGTTTCTGTCCAGACATAATATTATCACGACGAGGAGCGGAGGCAGTGGACACCTAGCCTAAGTCGTCTTCAACGCCGCCCGAGCCTTATGGACATGCACGTTTTCTCTTTTTTGATAGTTGAGGGTTTTACGGCGCTCGCAACTGCATATGAGCGCCAAGGGGTGGGTGTCAACAGAGAAGTCTTTACAGGGAATTATACTTAGACTGCTCACCTCTC